TGGCATCATATAGTGTGCAGCAATGAATCCCACTTCGCTCTTTAAGCAGATGACTACAGTGTTCATGTTTGGAGAGGACAAGGCCAGCGGTCCCAATCAGCCATAACCCCTAGTGTGATGGTGTGGGGTGCTATTTCTTATGACAGCAGGTCATCTTTAGTCATCCTCTTTACATCTTTAACAGCTTAACGATACGTTGATACCATCCTGTAGGCGGTTGCATTACTCTTCATGGCACGTCATCCTGGGGCTATTTACCAACAAGATAATGCAGGCCACATATCTCTGTACTACCTCTGTGCGGTTGATTCTCTTCCTTGGAAAGGAAGGTCACCCGACCTTTTACCAATCGAGCATGTCTGGGATATAGTAGGGCGCCAGATTCGGGGCACCACAAAACATCGCAGATCTGGAGTGACAACTGATGAATGCCTGGCAGAATGTGTCGCAGGATGACATTAGGAAACTCTACCGCTCCTTGCCTCGATGAATTTAAGCATGCATTGCCTCCAGAGGCAGTTCAAACAACTACTAATTTTAACACTCAATGGGTGATTGTGAGCTGTGAACAGATACTATGACCTTGATTTTTTAATCATTTTATTATCTGTGTATGAGCTTTACACATTCAATTTCATCAAAAACAACCACTTCCTTCATGGTGCTTCGATTTTTTTGCAAGAGAGTGTATATCTTTGCAAACTACAAACAATAAATAACAGTGACTAAATAATTACATAAACAAAACAGTGGTTGATTCATAATTTAGCCATTTAAATATTTTTAAATTCCAGGTGTCTGGGCAAATATTTCCTCCATTATATCTTCAACAAAATATTCTTCTCTATATTCAGCAATAGCAATGACTCCAAATTAGCTTGCTTCATAGTACTCCTTAATCTACTTTTTACAGTTTTTAATTTTGAAAAAGCTCTTTCGCATTCAACTTGCATTTAGATAGGGTGAGTACAAACTTATATGCAAAAAAAGACATTGACGTATGTATTACTATATAAATTATATTTCAAGAGTAATTTGTGTACACACAAGATTTTATTGTTGAATGAATGCTCATTAATAGATAGAGCACTCTCTCCTTTTGACTCGGCATCAGATTCAAAATAATGATTTTCAACTGAATTTTTTAGTATTTAACATTTACTTACTAGGTTCTGATATTCATCCTTAAGGTAACACTTGCATAGTGCCCTAATAATACAGATAAACAAGCGAAAGAGTTTGGCGACAATGGCTTCGAAAAGTTTTGGGGATCAAGAAGAGATATGTCTTCATACAACTTCCTATGCTCTTTAAACCTACTTTCCATTGAAGAAATGGTGTTATCCACTATCAGATTAAAGACAGTAACTTCAAACTATTTGATAGGGCAACTGATATTATAGTCGGATGTTTTTTTTTGTCGTCCATTTGCTTCACTTTTCGGCATCTTCTAGCGGGTAGTTCTTCTTCCATAATTATATCACAACTTAAATTTATATTTTAAATTAAATGACAACTCAGCCTTTCTAGTTTATTATTGCAATCTGTTGTGAACGATTCTGATGTGTTAGGGTGTCTCTTTTCTCGAAGTTTCTGTGAATCGCCTTTGATTTTTGTTTATCCATTCTACGTACCTAAAAAGTAATATAAAAAAATTCAACTGCAATATTTTTTGCCATCAACTTACATTTTTCAGTGACACAGTAAAATTCACTAGAGAGTCTTTTTTAATTACAGTTATAATGCAATATTTTCAGTTTCACAATTAAATTAGAATGTGACTGTACTGTATTTTCATAAATCTACTTTACGACTATCAACGCTATAGGCTCTACTCTACCCCTACCTTATAGCCTACAGCTACCATAGCTCATGCAAGTTTGAATGCGATATGTGGTCCATGCATCCATATCTCTCTCGCATTGCATGGCTCTCTCGCCGAGTCATCTGTGTCAATTCGATGTTTCAAGTTTCTTGATCGGCCCAAAATCGCTCTGGTCCTATCCACCACTGCACAAAAACAGTAAAAGCATGCCTCCTTTAAGTATGACAGTGATGTATTGGTAACAGATCATATGCCTTATATTGGCAAGGTTTCAAGGCTACAGATAACAAGATTATTACTGATTCATGGTACCAGGAGATCTTGCTAGAGGAAGGAGAGACTTATAATTATTAAAACAGCACCTGCTGTTATCATTAACGATGCACTATCTCAAGTATATGACATGAAACATTACCCTCAAGCAGATAGATTTTAGAAGACTTTGAGAATCTAATTTATCTAATTATTCTTTTCAACCTGCTACAGATGTTGCAGTGATGAGCAAGAAGAAAGGAAATAGTGACAAATGGAGGAACAAATCACTTTCAGTAGCCAACTGCTTGCTTACAGCCATGAGACTAAAGTCATATATATCTCATCTGCAAGTGGAGGTTGCAGCATTTCTCTATAGAAAGTATGGATCGCACAGGTTACTTAATGTGCTGAGTTTATTAGGATTTTGCTCATCATACACAGAAGCCACACATTTTTAAATGTCCTCCATCATCCAACCACCTCTCACTCTTATTCAATAAGCACTTTTTCTCAAATGTTGCATGATAACACAGACTTCAGTAAGTGAACTATTGATGGGTATGACACATACCATTCAATGGGAGGCACATTTTGTGTGATTCAAAAATTTGGTTTGTCTCGGGTTAACATATAGTTCAGCTGAAGGTTATGTCATCAACAAGGAAATATTGGATGTGCCAGAACTGTTCTATTGAAACTGATACCCATGAAAAAACTGAATTCTCAACACCATGAACACAAAAAGAGGGCCAGGGCTGACAACAGAGCATGTGCAACAGGTGCAGCTGCACTGGGCAGCAGAATTTAGGGGTGGCAAAATTTTTAAAATTTAGGGAGTTACGGGGCGGCAGATTCTAGGAATCAAAGTCATTGCACTGGATGGTGAAAAGCCTAGCGCTGGCAGACAGGGAAATCTAAAAGATTATATACCAATCCTCAGAATGACCAGCCTAGTCCACGTGGAGCCTGAGCCTTATGCAGGTATAAACTTCATATACCAATTAATTCCAGTGCCATTATATCTTTCACATCTCCTTTACATAAGACTTTACTGATAAAACAGATTTGTTTTTCAGGTAATGGACTTCTGAAACACCATTCTTTCTTTTCCAGATGAAGATAATCCTCAGAAATATTAGAAAACAGCATGACATAATATTTTACATCAAGTGAAAACTTTTAATTATTTTGAAAGATAAATTTTATTTTACTAAGAACTTTTTCTTTGTAAATGAAATTTTGTTTCAAACATATTTTCATTCATCAGTATTTCTTTATTTACTCTACATAACAAATTGTAGTCTGAAGCATGATACAGACATAAAAGCTAACAAATGCCCACTGTCATGGTACCTCATTGATTTTTGAATGGTTTAGAGCAAGGATGTCAAACTCGCGGCCCACAACAAATATTTTTGCGGCCCGGCCAATATATCGGCAAATAATAATATATAATAATAAAATAACATATTGACGAAGAAAAAAATGAAATGTTTACTGCTAAGTAATTAACAATAATTTATTCAGTGTTGTTAGATTACTCACAGCGAGCTGACACACACTACTTAAATTACAAATGCGTGTGAGTAGCTTGCGTTCAGCTACCTTCGGCTTTTGGGGGACACGTGCACTCAGAACTTGTACGCGTCCCCCGATGGCCGAATGTGGCCGAACTCATGGTCCTCAGTTTTCCAATCATAGTTTTGTACGATATATTGGTGCATGCATGTGCATGCACTTTGCTTTATTATTATTATTACTTAATTCATATTGTTATGGATTTTCATAGTTATTTATTTATTTAGTTTTTTTTATTTAGAATTGTAATTAGATTTGCTTCATGTTGCCTTAGCAATGCAGACGATTTTTGAAAAGACAGCTGTCAAGTATCAGGACGTAAACATTAAATTTTTCTTGTTCTTTTCTATATAATATATATATATATGTTTATTATTGTATTATTCGAAATAAATCTACGTTTCTATGAATATTGATTTTTTTTTTTTTTTTTTTTTTTTTTTTTGCAGCCCGCCTAAAGTTGAATCTTGTTTGTTTGGCCCAAGTGTACCTATGAGTTTGACATCCCTGGTTTAGAGTATAGAATTAGTCCTTAACATCACTTCACTCAAAACATTCAAATTTCATTTACCATTTGTGGATGAAATGAGGAGAATAATGGTATGATTTCCTATAAACTAGAAGTTTTGCTCACCATGCATCTCACTGACATTCATTAATTTCATTAATGTTACTTATGCATACCAAGCATTTCTAGAATAATTAGTTTCAGGCATATGACGTTGATATTAGTGTGGCACCATCACATAGGGTTTTTTAGAAGGATGTTTCTTATGGAGAGCCAAAAATTGGCCTTTTTTTAGCATGTTCTTGTATTGTCGCATATTGTCCAAACATGAGAGTTAATACTATATGCATTTTGTATGAAGTTTTGTCTATTGTAATTTTTCACAGAGTGGTCATCTTAAAAAAATGCTAAGTTTTCGAATTATAAGGAGTAAACTGAAAACGGCCAATGTTTTGAGGTTTTTTTTTTTTTTTAATTTTATTTTTATTATGATGGCAGCCTCTGATGAGGTGGCCAACCTAAAATTACGATTTAGAACCCCAAGAAACATACAGAATCATTGAGAAAAACCTTCTAAAATTTTCAGAATCAGAGAAGATCCTTTTCAGCTGTGCATATCAAGAATAAAATCACACAATAAATACTTTTCTTTCCATTATACATAACTAACATCATCATGTTGGAAACTTCTGAAATGACCTTTGTAGCATTATATCAGCTGTACAACTTTGATTAATCAAAAGATAAAAAATATGTGTAAATTTTGCCATATGAATTTTTGGCCATAAAATTAATGGCAGTTTAGTTAAGAGTTATTAAAAAAATATTACTCACAGAGAAAGCATTTGCACCAGGAATTTTACCAAATCGTGTTTGTTTCCAATTTTCCAGAATAAGTAATCCAGCATAAATTTTACCAACTGTCAATTGACTGGCACCTAGAACTATAACAACAAAAAAAAAAAAAAAAAAAAAAAAAAAAAAAAAAAAATTGAAAAATTTTAAATATAAAATTTATTCCAGAAACCATAATAGGTGAAATAAATATATGAATATTATAGAAATTACTGGGAGAAGAATTATGCGAATGAGAGATTAAAGATCTGGAAGAGGAAATAAACATGAAAGAGATATTCAAGATACCTTCAGGCAGCTATTAGAAATTGCCTAATTTCATGAGTTGAATTCTAAGGAGACGCTAGCAAAGTTAGAACACTTTCTTAACAACAGAGTCAAGTATTTGAAGGTATTAAATATAAGTATCATTACATTTCTGAAGTATTAACAGAATTTTCAATTTGGATGAAAAATAATTTCGAATTCCAAAATTAAGAACATCTTTCACAATTTAAAACTTGAACCCACCTAGTTAAAAGTTAGTTTAAATTAAATGGTAAAAAATTCAAAATTCTATTAATGCTGATATTTAAAAACATGTTCAGTTATGCACATATTCAGCTTCAGTTTATTTATTTAATCAAATGGGCACAAGACGTTTCTCAGCCTAAAAAGATGAGATTATTTTATGAAGGACTTTTGAGATGAATCTGGCTTGTATTCATGTTAAACATCAAGATCACCAAATGCAGCTATATATTCGCCTTTCTGAATCAAGTCAAACTACTAGTAGTTATCAGTCCTATCCACTTGGTTTCCAGTGGGTCTGTTCAGTTTCAGAAATAAATAAGCACTTACATACACTGAGAAAATAGAAAAAAGGTTCTAATTTAGTGCATTGAAATAACAGTGAAATATTTTCCTTTCATTTTTTAATCTAGGATTAATTTCAAGATTTTCATTTCCTAGAAAAACATGATTTATGAAGAATCAGGCACTGATTAAAAAAGAACATTCATAAAACAGACCATAAGCACTCATAAACAAGTATGCACATTTCTTAAAAGATACCTTCATTAGGAGGAACCAGTCTATTTATTTGTTTTTTTGCTTGAAGTGGCCACAGTTTTTTAATTGTGTCCCTCAGTTCTTCATCAGCAGCATCCATCTCTGAAGCTGTAACCCAAATATTTTTTCATGAATATCTTACAGAAGAATAACTGCATATTCATTTGTTAATAAAGTGGAAATAAACAAAACCCTTTTGGTTTCCTATATGAGACACATAGATTACACAGAATAATTCCTTTGGTAGAAGACCCAAGGTAGTCGTAGTAGTGGAGTTTTTGAGCATAAATTAAAAGTTATATGCACCAAGCACATATTTCTTTCAAACAAATTACATACCATAAAACCAAGCAGAATTAGTTATCAACAAACAGAAGTTTAAACAACAGCAGACTTATAAAATCAAAAGAAGTAATAAAATGATGAATGCTGAGATGACTAAATAATAAACTCAGATGTAAAATCAAAACCATGAGATATGTTAAAATACATAGTACTAAATAAATCAAATTAAATAAAGAGACCTGTCTCTTTCAGGTACTGAAACATATTGGTAATAACCTCTTTTCTGATCAAGAGGGAAGTTACACTTGTTAAAGTGCTTCAGTCAATGTCTGTTAAAATTTGGACAATTTTATTAAAAATTTAAATTTATTATTAAAAAGTCATGCATAGACAGAACACCATGACAACTAGGATGTTACTCTCCATTTTAGATGGTAATTGCAAATGATTTGGGAATGCCCAATTCTAAGTAGAGTTAACACGACTTTCTTCCAGGTCTCTCAATATTCTACACTAGGATTCATGTATCTTAGCTTATTATTTAGTTGAACATTCCAGAGTTGTTGCCATTTGTTCAGGACTTTTGGCTTGATAAATTTACTGATATTATTTTAAGGAATAATTTGATTCAACAAATAATCAATTACCAGGACCTTGATTACCAAGACATAACTTTCCAGCCTTGTGGGCAATGCAAACACGTCGTTGGCTCCATGAAAAACTAGAAGCAAATGGATATAACAGCATCTCACTTTAAGCCCCAACCTCTGAAAAATGATAAGGGAAAAGAAAATGGAAAAGTAACAGATAAGGAAAGGGGAAAAGAAAATGAAGAGAGATCACTGGGACTCAGAGATCCTGACTCACTCTCAAAGAGGGTGATCTATTGAATGACTAGAGTACTACAGGACTGCCACATCTGTACTCACACAGACTGAATGCCTGAGGACAACTAGACCTAATAAACTGTTTATTAGTCTGCATGAGTATACATAATAACATACTGCACACAATGAAGAAGCATACTAATACTAAAGGTAATGCTGGAAATGCTCATTATTACCATCTAAACATAATTGAATGTAACACTTCATGCTTGTCTATTTCCATGCCATTAAGTGTGAACACATATTGCATGCGAAATGGTACTAGTGGTTAATTTTGTTCTGATAACATCAAGATTTACTCCCCATTTTCCCCAATGCCCCATACTTTTTAATGAAAATTCCATATGTACACATTTCATAAATTGCTGAATAGTCCCATTTTCTTGGGTCTGGTACTGAAAGAATCAATCTATATTGCATATTTTTGAAAATCCAGAATTATAAATTTGACCCTTCAATTATTTACACCAAACTTGATGAGTAAGCATGAAAAAGAAGAAAAATCTACACAGTTTTTCACGCAGATATAGCCAAGGATGTTTCTCACAGATATAATGGAAGGGAAGGTTAATAAATAAATAAATGTAAACTTAACTTTCTAAATGCATTTCATGCTCTATTTAAAACATATATTTTAATTACTCTAATTAAACTTTAAAATTTGAAATTTAAAAACTGAAATTAAATTACTTTTTCCTACTAATCTAATTCAAAACAGTTTAATTTGGCTGAAATGTATAATTTTCCAGATTATCATGAGATTTTTTTTGTTCATGACTATATCCTTTTTAATTATATTTGAAATGATTTATTTCTATTTCTGTTAGCCAACAGAAGCACTTTTATTCACATTTCAAATGATTAGTCTTATACTGATTCATTTTTTTTCTTAGTAATTACTTTCAAAACTATTCCTATGATATTAAGTAAGTTTCTTAAGAAATATGAGACTTTTCCTTCACACACTTTGTTTTATTTATTATACATTTTAGACAGCCATTGCTTAGAAATGTATTTCTAACTCAGTCTAAACTAAGATAGTACTGTAGAATGCAGGGATCAGAAGATATTTTGATGTTAAATTGAGAAGAAAAGACTAATACACAAAATCAGGAAATAAATATAGACCAGGAAAAATTTTTAGAACATAGAAATATATTTACCTGATCTCATTTTAATACTCAGATTCTCCCTAATGAGTGCAAATAAGGTAGTGCTAAAATTAACTTGCATATCTTCATTTAGAGGCATATTCATTCTTATTAATTTCTGTGGGAAAAATTAATAAATAACAAAACAAAACTTTTGCTGAAAAATGTGTAAATCAAATAACACAACTTATACATAAAAATGATCCAAACATGCATTTTACATGAAAATAGGAATCACAAATATGAATAAATTATCTTTTAAGTTGAAATGAAACATAATTTTACCAGTGACATACTAAAAAACTCTATGTCATTAAAAAATAATCAGTTTTAAACTGATGAATTTAAAATAATTATTATACATTCTATTTTCTTGAAACTTCTTACCTTTTCTACATGAAAATATACTTTGCAATTATATCACTGTCAATTTTTTTTTTTTCATTACCGAGAAAAGTGCATTGTCACAATGAATACAAGATTGCTTTCAATGAAAAAAAAAATCCACACATTGGAAAAGAGATGGATCAGTTTTATCTTCAACAAAACATTTTCAATAATTAAGTTACAAACTGTATTTACAAATAAATAGGATATGCAAATGATTAGCATTACAGTCATATTCAAATCACATGTGCCAGTAATACCACCTAGAAGCACTATAAAAAGAAAGAATAGTAGACTGCTTTACATACTGAATGGTTACAAATGAAATAACTATTAAAGGCATGAGGTTCCTACTGGTTAAATGAGAAAGGAAGTATTGAGGTTTAGGGCACATTTTTTATATCTTGTGACATTACAAGTGGGGGATGAAATTGTAGGATTTATTTCATTCAAACTGAGAAATTCTACAGCATCTGCAATAAAAAACATCACTAAAACATTCAGTGAAGGAACAGCTAAAGAAGAAAGGCTGGTCAACAAATTATGATTGGGATAAGAAGTGGATTTATATGATAATTGTACACATTCATTGCAGGACTGAAAGTAAAAGACACTCTATGGTGAACTTCAAAGGCATCTCTGCTGTAAAGATGTTTTTTACTATACGGTAGTCTTCTGTTCATGATACTCATTATGCATTTTTCCCACAAGGTGAAACAATAAATGCAGCTCTACACTGAACAGATATGTAGCTAATGCATGACAAATTGTGGCTTAAGTAACCGGAACATGTGAATATACATGGAGCCCTATTGCTTCAGGAGAATGCTCAGCCACCTACAGCAATGTCAACCATATAACTAATCAATAACTTTGTATACAAAATTATGCCTTGTTCCCCATATTCTCCTGATATTTTACTAATAGATTATCATTTTTACCAGCATTTGAGACGTTTTTGTCCAAAAAATGTTTTGTCATACAATGCATCAATTTTTTTGGCAGTGAAGGATTTTTATTATTTTTAAAAACAATGATTTTTAAAAATGTGTTATAAATGACCTTGCCATAGATTGACAACAATGCATTGATTCTGCAAGCAATTGCTTTTATTAAACAAGTTCTTAACTCATTTGTTCTTTCAGTTATACTTAAAATCTGCTTTCATTTACAACAAAGCCAATACTAACTGTTTTACAGTTTCCTACTGCTACTTTGCATGAAAAATTCAGTATTTTAGAGTTTACTCTATAAGTGATATTGCTCATTTATAATATTTCCTAGGCATCAAAGAGAAATTACCCAATATTTGCAAGACATCCAAAAACCCGTACTACACAACAATATTTGTTTCATGAATGATACACTCATATTACCATCTATCCTTCAACAGTGCAGATGGGTTTTGTATATTTCATTTCATCCATTATTGCATAATAAATCAAAATGAACAATAATTAATGCACTGTTTTAAATGGCTAATACAAATAATATTATTACTATTATTCACTTTTTATAGGCTAATATCTTATGACACATGAATTCTTAAAGCATTTCCACAAATATTGTGTGATTTAACATTTCACACTATACTGGTAATTCTGTTTCATAAGATATAACTTTGTATTTCAAAATGATTATAACTAAGTTTTTTATGTAATTAAAATGAGTTATTTTATGCCAAGTTACCTTATAAGCTAGACGATATGGACATTTATTTCCAAATCCCAAGGGTGGATCCATGTTCCTAAGCATCTGGTACATCTCAGAATATGATATGAAACCACTAAAATAAGAATTCATATAATTTGATTAGCAGGTGTTTTGTTACAATAGAATTATAAGAGCCACAAAGTTTTTGAAATTTTTTTTGAATGATCCACAATAATGTTATAAAAATCAGTTAAACTTGAAATAAATGTTTTTTAACTGAGCAAAATGTTATGCAAAATTATATCAAAGCTATTTTTTAAATGCTACAAAATGAAAGAACTATTAAACATTAATGTATTTTTAGAAAGGATTTGTGTTATACAGAAATATAATGAATAAAACATACGTTGCATTGGGATCATACTCTGCCCAAGCTCGTATATATTCATCAAGATGATGTGCACCCAATATTGATGAGTCCCGAGTGAGATAATCAAAATTATCCATAATAACAGCAACAAATAAGTTAAGCATCTATTAAAAAGAATAATTTTCTTAAATGTGTTTATTAAATACATTATATTCATAAAACAATTGCTACAGAACATCAGAAAGAAAGAAAAAAGAATTAAGTTAAAATCTGTTGAGAAAAAAATCAGTGCTAGATATCAATATCTCAGAATTAGTCATACATAAAGAAAATAATACAGTACCAAGTCCAAGATCTGAAATCGTTGGGACTTTGGTGTTTCAAGATTTTGGTCATCAGTTTAAATCTAGTAAGACGATGCACAGACATGGTGATATTTGGAACTTCAGAATTTCCAGATTTTAGCCATCTGTATAAATCTAATAAGACAACACAACATACAGAAATGGAAACATTCAGGCTTCACTAATTATTGAAGTCCAATAGAAAAATGCCAACCCTCCATAAACACTCAAGGGCTGAAAATATGATTACATCAATCAATGTATCATCACTGGCCATTCTGTAACTCCCTAGTCAGCAGATGTTTGAAAGTGGCATGCAGGTATCTTAGGTAATTGGAAGAAAAATTACATTTATAGACACCTGCTTCCTTTTGTTGAGAATTATAGTCTCCATTTGTAGACTTTGTAGAGGATTTTATTTATTACTATTATTAATTTGGAGTGAAGCTGGTAGTCTGGAGATTCAGATATTGGACATCTGGATTTCTGACTTTGTGCTATAACAGATTGTAATAAGTAATAGAACAAAGTATGTATAATTGGTTCTATAAAGATGGCAGCTGACGTTAAATGGATTTTTTTTCCTGTTGGAAATAAAGAGAATAAAATGACTTTCTAGTTTAAATAAATTGAGAAGAGGAGCTGGAAGAATATATAACAGAATAATGGCACACAGAATATTTTTATAAAATCTCAAAAGTATGGGTCAGGGAAAAGAAATGTTCATATCTAAAAGTTTAATTGAATGTATATTTACAATTCATATTGTTACGAAATGTACAGATGCAGTAAGATGGCTTCCCTGCAAAGCAGTTTTAGGGTTGCCATAAAATAGCAAGGAAGACAGGGTTGCCACATTTGGCGAGAAACTGCCCATTTGGTTACAAAATTGGCGATATACCATGGACGGATGGAGAACCTTCTGGAACGAATTCTTACCGGTTTAGCCCAGAATGTTCTTGAACACAAGCCGAAAGCTTTATAAACCCTGCTGGTCCGCAGTCAGTGTGTGTGCCTTGTGTAGGGCGAGTCAGTGTTTCTCGAGTTAGTCCGTGCAGAGTCGATCGAGTTGACAGCCGGGCAGTGAGTTCCGAGTAGATCATAGAGTGCACCGAAGGAGTCTCTTAGTGTGTTGCGGTTAGTGCATCGTTGAGAGAGCATGTTGAGCTCCGAGGATGACTAAACTGAAGAGTCGGGAGCTGTGCTCTGTGTGTTGTTGAGTGCATCGCGAGTTGTAGCGTGGAGAGTCTCGAAAATACATGGAGTTCCAAGAACGATCAAGCAGAGTCAGGAGCTGTTCTCTAGTGCTTTGCCATGAAGCTGTCTCCACTGTGATAGCCTGATAACCTGGAGGCTGTGTCGCTGATCGTGTCAGCGTGTTTATAGTAGCTCATCGACGACTGTAAAAATGTGTTTTGGCAATGACAATACTGATCAATAAAGTGTGTTTGAACACTTCATCAAGTAGTGTTGTCGTTATTCACTCCAAATCCACACGAACCCCATACGAAGGTGAAGGAAGAAAATAACGTAATAACTAGTGTCAGAAAAGAAAAACGCAACAATATACTTTAGTGTTGAAATACTTACCTATTATAAAAATAAAATAAAATAAAAAATAGAAATCAGATATAGTAAAAAGGACCTGAGACTATCTACTGATAAGCAGAAGTTCAAAGGCTTTCCCCCATATATGAAATGGTTCACAGCAAATTTATATATTCATTAGCAATACTATGGCAAAGGTTAACTCTAACACACACACAGACACAAAAAAGATTCTACCTCAGCAAAGGTTAATTACAGCAAATCATTATACAATTAAAGAGAACTGGTTTGTATCTTCTGTTAGTAAGGAAACTGAATATCTCATGCAGCCAGTCATTTGGCCAGGAAACAACTATGGAATGAAGCTACATGTTTTTGATGTTTTGTTTCAAATGAATACATTTTATACATTTGGCACTGGTAATCCTTTAAAATGAGGAACAGGGCAAGAAATGGATGTGAGATGTATCACATAAATAATTAAACAGAGATTTTCAGGTAAGTAGGAGAAATAATTTTATAAATTTGATAAAGATATTGTAATTAAGAACTCATATGTATGATGATGCATTTTAAATGAAAGTGATATTTCCCCCCTTTCCCACAAAATGTATATTTGTAAACACCATTATTTTTATTTCTATATTTATATTTAAGCTAATGATTTATCCATTTTATAATTTTAATAAATTGTTATTATTTTTTGTTAACTTATTTATATAATTATTGCAATTAAGTAGAAATCAATGTTAATTCAATTACTTATTAATACAGAATTTACACAAATAAGTTTAAATGTAAGTGAATATGTCAAAAGCAAACTCACCAAAAAGGAACAAAAGAAAATGAAGCTGACAAAGTAAGTATATGCCAAATTACTACCACATTCATCTCCTTGCTTATTTGACTTTAAATCACAGGGTCTTCCTTTAACACAGTCCAACATTATAGCCTGCCAGGCTTCACCAGTTGCACACCTTCATTTAAAAAACAACAGTAATATCTACACAATGAATGCAACTTATGTAATATTATTAACATGTTTTAATTAGAAGAAATAGAATGACTACAATTTTCATATAAATCACAGCCAATAATTCATGCGAGCAAAATGTAAAGTGCATACAGCATGCAAAGAAAATAACATAATGGTTTTAAGGAAAGGACACTGACCCTGAAACGAGAGTTACAGCCACTTATATGATCAAATTATATAACCTTTTTAAAAATACTTATTTGTTCTTTCCTACATGATATTCAAACTGAGTGAAAATTTAATCAAACTATTCAAATTTCATTTTAAGTCACAAATTTTAAAGCTAATTGAAAGTATTATGTGTTGAAATGAATTTACATGTTAGATTCCATTTTATGAAGCAACTTTACAAGAAAACCCACAAAATTTGCATTATTATTCACTCATAAAATGAAGGTAACATCTGATTATATGTAAATTATGTTTTCTAAAATATATTTTCAATGAAAGAGCAAAACCGAACCAACGGTTTGCTTAGCATCTTGTAATTTCTTTTATAAAACATAACCCAAATTAAATGGGTAAATTTGAATTGAACTTGAATGAACTTTAAATCTGAATCATATTTTTAATAATTTAAAAACTGTCAACAGTGCTATTAATGTGCAATTATTTTGAAGGTCTTTGAATAAAAATAAAATGTTCAAGGCCCCAAGCATGTTTATTTGCTAAGTACTTAAATATGGTAAATTTTTCTTTTAACATAATCGCCTTTTTATATAATATCACTCATTTCAGCTAAAGAATGAAAGAAACTTATTTTTTAATGTTAACTGTATCTGAATATTTTATGTTCAGTTAACCTCATTAAAGATTCATCTATGTAACTGATGGAGCAGACATGCAGTTAAATGCTTTACTGTCTTCTGAAGCATCAAAATCAAATTTAACCTTATTAAAGATTCATTTATGTAATTGATAGAACTGATATGCAGTGAACTGCTTAAAGTTCTTTGGAGAAATTATTATTTCTCCAATTAAGTTACCAAAAAATTATTAATTCTCCAATTCTTTAAATAATAAAACCAATACATTAATGACTATAGCCAAGCTCTGAATAGACCACACCAAAACATGTTAAAAAGGTCAGTTTCAGCAAAAAGAATTCTCTCTTCTCCTTATAAAACACAGAAGTCTAGAAGAACGAGAATAAAAATTAGCACGCAAGATAGCAAACGGTTACAAGTAACGAAACAATAAGCAACGAGCAGTAAGATTTTCATGAATGGTTTTGAAATAATTAGTAACATTAGGCACTTTTACATTATGCTTATTATTAATTTTTGTGTGCATTAAGTACACTGAACTAAAGGCATTAATATATATATATATGTATTTTTTTAACTATTCCTAATGTTTTTTCTTGCTGATGGAACTGGAAATGAGATTTATTTTAATTCATTTTAATGCTTACCAGTGAACCCTTTAATTTATAAATATTTAAAATAAGTTAAATATATTTTTAATTTCTTTCTCTTTAATTTATTTGCATACAGTTTTAAAAGTTTTGTTTGTAAATTAACACAAGAGCTTTATTTAATAATCTAACATTAAAATTCAGAAGGAAAACTTAACTTTGTTTCAAGATTGAATAACAAAATCTAATTCATTGTTATACCTAGAAAAGGAGTTGCAGCAATTTTATGAATGTTTTAGTATGAATTCAATCCAGAAACAAATGCTCGGCACATCTGTTCACTTCTTACAAACATTTTATTTCTTTTACACAGTTAGACATCTTTAAATAATCTTTCTGAAAGGGAAAAGTTTAGATACGCCATTCCAATAATCAATAATTTTGAACACTGTACATTTAAAAACTCGCTATTTGAAAATAATAATAAATAAATAAATGAGGCTTGAAAGATGAAAACTGAATTTAGATCAGTAACTTTAATTTTCATAAAATTATATCTGATAATATGGAATCAATTGAAAAGGATTTAATGAGGAAAAACTCAGTATTATGCAAGACTGGTAGCACTTTAGGAAGGGGAAAAAGTCTAAAATTATCAAATTCTGTTTATGCTATGATCTAAAGTTACAATACTGCAAAAAAGCCGTAACTACGAAAAAAAAAATCACAATCTGATATAAATCAAATTCCACTTCTTTAACCAGAATCAAGGCCATTCTGTAATTCTAAATTCTACTTAAATCTGTGAAAAAATTTTCTCAAGAAAATTCTTATGTTAACTTTACTTAAAATTCAGTAGTGCTATAAATTTTTGCATAGCCTGAGTAAATTATAACCTACTCCCTTCCAAACAACAGTCTATTTGCTTGATTTTAAAGGCTGATTTCATTTAGGATATTTAAAGAATAATTTTGCAAAAAAGGAAGAAATTTCATAAATTTGACATTTGCTCACATGACTGCAATTTTTTTTTCAAGCAATTTAAGCCAATAGGTGTGGGAAGACTTGTTCATTCCACTGCAATAAAAATTCAATCTAATCTATATAAAATAAATAAATAAAAATAAGAATAAAATTCTAGCACTCAATGAGGGCTTCTTTATTTCTAAAATCTGTAAAGCAATTCCTTACTTTAAAATTAGTACTTGAGAAAAAAATGCAAATGCCAATTCTTTTACTACCATAAAAATGTACGAACAGTGATAACTCTCACACTATTATTTAGAAGTGGTAAATAAAGTTTACAGGGTTCTTTTTTTTTCCATAAAATCAAATCAAATGTAACTAAATATATATGTATAACTTATTGCACTCAACATTTACAGCACACACTTTTACACTAGCATGCATCACATACTACAAAATCAAAATTAATAAAAGCATAAAGAGGAGCAGAGCATTCGTTTTCACCAAATTTCTCAATGCTTTACTATATACAATAAAGCAACATAATTTTTCTGCCAGTATGATTTCTGCTTATAAATTACTTTTAGACCGGAGAATGGCAGAACTCAAATGAAACTGGTATTTGGCATGCAAATGTCAAACATCTGTAGGCGAACAAGGACTGCGGATGTAATTTCAGATATTGTGTATACAGAAAGCTCACAACATGCTTTTACATTAAGGACTTCAGAATGATATGGAGATGCCTTTATATAGTTACAGCTACTTTTGAAATGACATAATAAAACAAAGAGCAGTTTACAATAGATAAATAAAAATGCAGTTGAAAAGGTAGTTTATATTTTATGTATGCTTTGTCTTCTACCAAGTATTTCTGCCAAACGATTACTTGGTAAAAATTATTAGTTGTAAATTTAGAAATACTGTGACTAACATTTTCTAAATTTTAATATGTTTAATATGTTTTATGCATGTATGCACTCAATAAAATGATGAATAGCAGGCTTTTTTTAATTTTATTTTATTATAGCATAATAAATACTGAATTTAACAAATAACATTATATTAAACACACAAAAAAATCTCATGTGGCAACCAGATGATTTCACTGTATGGCCTATTAAATTATACATATTTTTGCAGCACTTCATTAAAACTTATTTGCATGAATTATTTTAACTTAATTAACCGATCCCTCAGGCAAGTCTAAAATAAAATCAAAAATTGAAAACTTTGAAATTAAATATCCCGGTCAAATTTTGTCATGCAGAAGTCCAACTTCTTGTATTTTTATTTTTTCGTAATGAGTATAAAATTTCTCTAAGTATAATAATCGAGAGACCGCATAAAATGTTAGATTTCAGTATTTGTCAAAAATTAATTCTTTTTAAAATTTGACGTTGACAAACACAACAAACAAAAACATAAATATTTTTATTATTTGAAACGCTTCTATAATTGGAAGTACACGACAATGAGTGACAAAATAAAGGTTGGCTCAGGGGTGTATATATATATATGCTTTTGATTCTGCTGCCGGCAATAAGAAAGGGAATTGCACAACTAGATGTTATAGCAGTCCCATATACAAAATTTTAGTGTTCTGTGGCTAATCATTTTTGAGTTATGCTAGATACATATGTATGTATGGACAAATATCACGAAAAAGTGCATTTTGAATCCATTTAAAAATATTTTTGTAATTAGGAGACCTTTAATCTGTCTGTACATACAGGCCTTATGTAAAAAAAAAAAAAAAAAAAAAAAAAAAAAAAACAGTCAACCTGGACTCAGGAATTGTCAAGACGGATATTTCCATTGAAATCTGACAAATGAATTTTCTTTAATTACAATACTTCCTATAAGGAAGTAAAAAGAAATGAAATTTACATATTTTTAAATGATGATGATCGAAAACATATCTTCAAATATTATGTTACCTCTTAAATAACATAATTTTGTGGAAATGCAAAACAAAAACTTACAATCAAAGTGTTCAAATGAAAGTTTGAAACCGGTTTGAAGAGAACCATACCTTATTTATGGCAGCTGTTAGCTTTAGCAATTGGCAGACTTAGGAATATGCCAGTAAAATTCTGTGAAGGAAAACTAGGATTATCCCCAAACACAACTATTATTCAATGTAATTACTACTGATAATTGCGCATGTTATCTACAGAAAGAGAAAAATGTAAAAAAAAAAAAAAAAAAAAAAAAAAAAGAGGCTCTGGATGCATCTTTGATATAGACACAAGGATATTTAAACACACATTTTTCTTAAGAGTTGCCGATGAGTTCGTGAGTTTTTGGTGCAAGTGCAGATAATAAGAAAGCACCCCTTACTTTTTAAGGCATTCATTAAAATGATCCAGTTTTTAAAATTAATGCAACATTCAATATACATAAATATTAATAAATCAAAATTTAATACAAAAATTATTTTGTGAATAATGTCACATAGTGTAATTGTATTTGAATACACATAGCAGAATATATGTAATTTGCAATTTCAGATTTTATGAGTACCTTAGAATCTGAGTACAGAGTTACAATAGAAACCCAGAGTGAAACTCTTCAGTTTTGAAATGTAACATGGAAAAAGTAAATATTTTTATTAATACCAAATATAATTCATTAATTAGAAAATTAAATGTATAGTATTTTTTGCATAGCCTTCATGAAAAACATGCTTTCAATTTAAACAATTAAGAGAAATAAACCTTAGATAATTTTTTTTAGCGGTAATAGTTGTATTATTTAAGCAAGTTTTAGGTGTTTATTAAATTTTCTTTTGTACCTGTAGTTGTTCCTAATGCCCCATTGAAATGAATAAACAAAGACTAAATAGGAAAATTATTCATTAGAAGCAACTTGATAAAACATCTAACCCGAGAAAAAATTATATTCTAATAAAAAGTGATAGGATAAAAAATTTAAATAATGCACAAATTTTATACATTGTTAATTTAATTTCAGTTAATCCATAAATTTTCAAATTGTCTATAAAATACGGTCGATATTCTTTAACAAATATTATTGCTCTTATTATTCTTATTCTGTTTGACAAAGCACATTTTCCATGACTTCAAGTACAAGGCATCTCCATACATTTTTACCCTCCATGCAAGTCATAGATATTTATGAGTTAGCTAAATACTTCTTAGCATTTTATGCCCTTAATTGGAAAATCAAGCTAGGTGATGCATTTTATAAGAAAATATTTTGCTTCATTACACAGGGCTCGCTACATAATTTTAAAAATGTGCACGACTGACACAATTTCACAGCAACATATACAATGTTTTAACTTGCCTGAAAAGCAGCATTAGTCCTTGAAAGAAAGATCTGAAGTTATTGTGGCGAGTTATGGCCGTTTCAGGGTTCAGTTCAATATTACCAAACACCTGCAGAGGCGTGCAGAGGAAGATGCTATTATTGACACACTAGGCACAACGCCCAAAACAATTACTAACCACTAATTTTAATAATTACAAAAATAGTAACCCAAAATGTTTACTAATATGAAGTTAAACATATAATGAAAGACAAAACATATTATTTAAGTGATAAACGGGATGCTTTTGATGCTGACTGCTTTATAAAAGTGTCTAAACTAAAAGGAAAGAAAAGATCTGAAAAACTGTATGGTGGATTGAATAATGCAATGAAAAGCACTAAGTCTACTGCTACTGCTAAAGGAATGTCTTTTCTGACTAAAAACAAGGTGCGGTAAACAGGCAGAGGCAGGCGTCTAGGGAAAAGAAAAGTTAAAACTAAAATTTTATACATTTTGCCATTATATTATGCAAAAAGCAAATTTTTTCAAATTTTTAAATAGCTGAAAGAGAAATGCTTTAATGTTAATTAAAAAAATTATCAAATGTCTGACCTCCTGAAAATACTTGGGGGGGGGAAAGCTAGCTTATTTATTTAAAAAACTATAACTAAATATAAACGTTTTTATAGGAAATATGACATGAGATTAAAAATAGACTCTGATAAATGATAAATTTTATTTGGTTTAAAAAAGACTTTATTTATCCTGAAATCAAATGCAAAAATATTTTAAACTAGGAATATTTGTTCATTGAAATTATAAAAATCATTTCAAGTCTTAAATTTTTATTATTTGTGATAGTTTTTATTGAAAGCAATTATAAAATAAAATAAAAAATATATTTTCTCTGCTGAAATTAATTTTGGGAAGAATGAAAAAATATTTTATTGCACTCGTCACATTAATTAGATTTTTTTAAAAAAAAGCTTTCATAGTTTTGACAGACAATAGTAATCTTATATAACAGATAGAATTTGTTTCTGTTCACAGCGATGTTTATACATCCTCCTAAAAAATCATATAATCTTTTATTTATTACTTTTATTGCAGGTTTTAATACATGCATTTAAGTAATAATGTTTGATGTAAGTGTTCAACATCTAGCAATGTTACAGAATTTGACAGTCTGAGGGATGTTACAAAAAGTAAAATTATATAAAATACAGCAAAATTCAATATGGGAAGTTCTAGTATAGATTAGTTTTAATTGCTGATAGTTAAACTTTCTATTTATTTATTTTTTTGAATCTTACTGCATACAGTTAAAAAATAAAGCAAAAATACTTATTTTTAATTAAAAAAATCATACTTAATGTCAATTGATTAGTTCTTACCAAAAAATGTATAAATACTATATTTTAGATACAGATATGACTGGCTAGTTTTCCTTACATATATTTAAAGAAAAATGTAATACTGATAATACATGGTAATCTAAGAAAATTATTAATTCATACTTTCGAGGTATGTAAAATGACATATGCAAATGTACATTAAAATAAAAAAGTGAATTAAGCATGTCTAAAAACTAATAACTAAATTATGAATAACACAGATGTGATGAAAAATATTTTATGCAGAGATAGCAACTTGATCAGAGTTTAAAAATAAAACTTAGAACACATGAAGCAAATATAAAAATAGACAACAGGAAAAGGGAAATTAGAGATCTCACAAAAATATAACAGAAATACGTCTCATAATTTTGATATTATTGCAATAATATATGGCAAAATGTATGGGTGTATTTATTGTAATATCATTAAACTCACCTAAACAACAGAATAAGTGATTGAACGAAGGTTTGGAAGTTGTTGTGGCGATTGATTTCTGAGTCAGGGTCAAGTTGGATATTGCCGAACACCTGAGAGATTTTCGAAGAATAAAGCCAAAATTTCAGCCCATTATTTCTTAGAAACAACAACACTAGACTGAAAATTGGTGAAGCAGAAAAGACGCAAAAAAGCTATTTAAAACTTTTCTCCTTTATGTATGTAAAAACTCTATAAGACTATTCTGCTCCTGTTATTTATGTCTCAAATTAAAAATTAATACCTAATAGTTCTTCCTAAATCCATTTATTTTAAATGGAATATAAATTATAATTTCATATAGTAAAAGTATTAAAAATATAACAAATTACAATTACTTCAGTATTAAAGAGACAAAAAGTAAAGGACAAATTATAGCAGATCTGACATAAGCACTGCTTAACAAATTAAACGTTGCTTTAATTTTCAATATATGATTAAGATATAACTATAAATTTAATCAATAGTATATATGAATTTACACTACATATGTAGCATTACATCATTCATAATGATAAAAATAGTTTTTTCTACTAGAGAACAATCACATAAAATTAAAATACACAAGTATTCTACATTGCAGAAGTATCTATATTATCATTTACGAAATACAATAAATATTTTTTTAATTAAAACAATTTATTCAAAACATTCTTATAAATTAAAATGTTCTCATTTTTAACAAATATTTGAAATATATCTTCATATAAGTCAGACATGATATATAACTCAAGGTAGGAAAAAAATTGCAAGGTATTAAAAATTGAAATGTGTGCTAGACAGATTTTAAATATTTTAACTTGATGTTGTTATTTTTTTTATGGAAATTTACTTTAACATTTTCACCAGCTTAGCAAAGGAGCATGTTTAAAGTTACAGTGCTTTTTGCTCAATAAAATCTAAATTTACGACTAGAAACTTGATACACTTAAATTTTCAGATATCAATTTTAAATATAGATAACTAGTATAAAAGATATATGAAGATTTAAAACTGCAATAAATGTAATTTTTTTAAGTTCTCAGTGTATAATTGTTAGTTGCTTATTCATCAATTACTACTAAATACAGATTATCAAATCTGTCTGTGTTAAACAAAATCTTCATTTTTTAATACATGCCTAAAGATCCATAATAGTTAATTTTCAGACCTTTAAATTAAAAATAATAGTGATAATTTGCAGTTATGATATTAATGTATACTTGCAGTAATATCAAATCATAATCACACAGAACATGTTACTTTCAAATTATAATTAAACAAAGAAAAATTTAGTATAAAAAAATCAGTTTTAAATTTTAATATCTGTCAATCAATCCAAATATACTATGTTAAATTTTACATATTTCATTAAAGTGCTTCCTGGGAAGCATAAAATAAAAACAGAATATGGACTTTGTATTATATATAATATGAACTTTATTATATTCATATTATATATACGAGTAATATGAAATTTGTATTATATACATGGAATAATAATATGAAAATGGTTAATTTAATATTTGCCATCCTGGAAACTTCTGTTGCTTCATATAAATATGCTGTAATCATAATATCAATAGGTTTAAAAAGTCTAATTATTCACTTTCCAAATTAATATGGACATTTATTAGCCTGAGGTAGCTCCTAACATTATAATGAATTCCTATTATTAACAATTTAAAGCAAATTCCGGTGAGAAAAATATTTAATCAAATAAGGTAATATTGGTTAAATTTAATCAAATAAAGTAATACTGTTACAATATATTTAATCAACTTGATTTAATGAAGGTGTTTGATTCCTTGAATAATAGATACATTAGTATAACATTGTACCACATCTGATATTTAACAAGCAAACATATACTCATCGTTATACTCTATGATGTAGTAGTGCATCCAAATGTAAACTAATAATTTAGGGATTTATGAAATATTTTTTATGCATGACATGATATGTCACATATCATTTCTCTTCATTCTACTTAATCAAAAAATTATAAGACTTCTTAATAAATTTAAAATGAAGTATATATTTATATGAAACACAAAACCAAGATAGCAATTATGTTGCTTACTAAGAAATACAGTAAGCAAGGCACCGGAATGAAAGAAGAGTAGTTCCACAGCTTTAAAAATTATTGTGGAAAGTTTAATCTATTTTAAAGAAAGAAATATAGTTAGCTTTTATCTTAATATGAACTATTTATATTTTTAACATTATAATCCCCCCCCTTTTTTGTTTCACTTTTTTTTTTTTATTAAACATTAATCCTAATTTGGCCTTAAAATAATTCTAAATTATTTTTGTTTTGTTCACATTGTTTATTTTTGCTTTTATTTTATAAATCATTCTTTCTTTCTTAGTTCTTATTGTATTTTTTAATTTGTCACACAGTTAGCTGAACTGCTGTTTGTCACACAGCAATTTCCTTATAATTCTCTTTTTACTTTCAGGATTTTCTTAATCATTTGCTAGGTATAATATATAAACCAAGCTTTTCAAATAATACAGAGAAAAATTTTAAGCAAATTTTATTTTAATTTAAAAAAATTAAAATTGATTAAAAATATTACTGTCTACAAAAGCAAAATGTTTACGCTACTTTAAAGAGAGAAATATAATTAACTTTTATCTCACTTTGAACTATTCATTTTTTTAACACTATAATCTCTCTCTCCAACCCCCTTTTCTTGTTTCACCTTTTTCACTGAACATTCATTTGAATGCTGAGTTTTCATCATTCCTATTTTGGCCTCAAAATAATTATAAATTATTTTTGTTTTGTTCACAATGCTTATTTTTGATTTTATTTTATAATTTCCACTTTATTTTATAATTAATTTAGTTTATATTTTACTTATTATTTAATTTTTAAATTTATTTAATGCCTTTAGTTTATAATAAGAGTTCTGCACTCTTACTTTATTGGTTCTTAATGGATCTGTTAATTTGTCATATAGTTTCCTTTATAATTATCTGTTTGCTATTAAGATTTTCTTAATCATTTGCTAGGTATAATATATAAATTAAACTTTTCAAATAGAATAACATAGAGAAAGTTTTTAAACCAATTTGTTATTTAAAAAAACATATTTATCTTCTTATCTACATAAGCATTATACACATCCAGTTTATTATGAAAACCAATTTACAATGAATATATATTACCTGAAATGAGAAATTATTTGTATAAACTAAAATATACAGATAATATTATGAGAAACTGATTGAACAATTATGAAGCTAATGCAGAAGATTCTAAAAGTTTTACCTGCATTCCAATGATGGCATAGATGAAAAACAACATGGCAATGAGGAGGCATACATAGGGTAAGGCCTGCAATAAACCAGTTTATTATCATCATAATAATGTATTATTTACTATATTAAATATCATAATTACAAATTTGAAGATCATTTAACAAATTTTGATACCATTTTTCATCAAAATTTGACACCTGTACACAACAGCCCTTCATATTTTTAATCACTTCTATTCAAACTCAATTTTGTCCTATTCAAACTGAAAATTAAACAGTAATGGACAAATCTATTGTTGGCAGAATGTTATGATTCAATTTAATCATTATTTTTTGATATAACCTTACACTGTATCATTAGCAATAAAATTATTTTTTAACTCTTGCAATATTACCTGCATTATTATCAGCAGACAACTGACTTTACGACTCTTAACACAGTTGTGTAACTGCACATTTCAGTTGCTTGCACCATGAAAATGAACATTTTAGTTTAAAGATGGCTAATTATCACCAAGTGAAATATAGAGCAAAAATAAATGGCTGGCCTGCTGCCTTTTTGATAAAATTATTTGACATGGGCAAGTGGTAATAAAATATTCTAGTATAAGAAGTTATAGTATTATTAGTCAATTATTTTATTTTATAAAATATAAAATAATTTTCAAAGTCCTAAGAAATTTTCTCATGAAATAATTTCTATATACTATTAACTTAGAAATTTGTAGTTTATTTCTGCAGACTTATGCTGAGAGAATGCAATGAAAAAAAAGTCTTCACTTCAGAATACAAATAAATATTAAGGAACAATATTTATTAGTTCCTTCAACATATTTTTTTTAACTTTCTGCTAAACTGCTAAATAAATAAATAAATAAATAAAAAAACACCAACCAGATTTCTTTATAGTAGTACTTAACAAAGACAAAACAAAGACACAAAGAAAGATATCTACATTTTTAGCTTAAGTACTGATTCTTACCATATCATGAGAATTACAAACAAATCTGTTGTCCTTTTTAATGATAATTATATAGAAACAAAAGCAAAGAGATGGAGATATATATTTCAGCTCAAAATCATCCATGAAAATTGTTATATATGATTTATTGAATTATTGACTTATTCACAACAGTTAAACCGATAAAAAAAAAAAAAAAAAAAAAAAAAAAAAAAAAACTACAGAATTCTGTAAAAATATTAATTAAAAATATATAGTTCACAGAAAATTATAACGCCAATCTAAATGATATTTTAAATGCATAGCATATGAATCATTTACAAAGAATATATGATACTCTCTCTTTTCTTCTTTCTTTTTAAAATTACATTTCTTCAATAAAAGCATTCATTTATTCAATTAAATAGCTGAAACTAACAATGAAATTAACAACTTTAATTAAAATAAATAAGCATGCAATAAAGCATCATACTTTAACCCAGTGCTTCTTAAACTTTTTTCATTCATGACCTATTTTTAACATTGCATTTTTCATGACCCCCGATATTAAATAAACGATAAAAACACAAAAATAAATATTTTTCCATAAAAAATTTATTTCTTTAGTACAGATTATACACATGAAAAGAAACAGTTTTAGTACTTGTTTAAAATATACAAAAATTAATGAAAGAAAATTACATTTGAATCAGATGGATGTGCTGTTTTTTGCTATGTAACAAGATACTACACACATAAAACATCTTCAACAATTTTCAGCATTGTACAATATATGGATATAAAAAGCTGAATAGATCATTTCACATGAGTTTGTAGTACTAAATGGTAGAACATTTAATGCAATTCCATAAACTATGAGAAATTCAATTCTAGTTCTGATCCAGAATTCAGTAAAAGATTTTTGTGGAAACTCGAGTTTACGTGTGCGCGTAAGACCTTTTACCACTGCGAATATGCGTGTGCACAATCGCAGAATACGTTTTCGCGTGCGCGTTTTATGTATAATGGACAATATAATCTAAAATTATCTAATTATCTATTTCAGTTAATGTTGATGATTGTGTTGTTACTTAATCTTCGAATTGGATCCGGTTTATTATTTTTTGCAGACTGTAAGAGCAATTTTATAAAAGTAAACTTGAACTTTCGATTATGTCAAATAGAATTTTCGATTCTGGAGCTCCCAAAGGATCGTACAAAACGAAAGTATCTTTCGATGTCCAACAAACAAAAAGTGGAATTTCTGCAAAATGGATAAAGACACGAAGAATGTGACAGAGAGGTTAGTGAAAAAGAAAAAATTTCGATTGACAAGTTAGTCGGTATTCTCGGCACAACAATTAACGGGACTTGAACAGCGGAACTTTTAACTGAACAAGTAATTGTGTCTGTGTATAGAATTAAAGAGAAAGTATTATCACATAAAACAAAGCAACTTAAAACAACTTACATTAAAAGAAAATGTTGAATAAAGTAAACAAATAAATATTAAGCTTTTTTTTTTTTTTTGTAAATTTTGATACCCTTTAGATTATTATTGTTCTTTATTTCATAAATTAATAAGGTTTCATATTTTGAATTTTAGAATTTCTGCATGCCATCTTATGAGATTTAAACTGATGATCCGGAAAAATCGATAATCCGGAATTGCCGAAGTCCCGACGAGTCTGGATTAACGACTTTTGACTGTACTAGCTTTCGAATATGACTGCTAAGGATGCAACTGCAGTGTTTAAGGGTGATCAGTTTGTCTTGATGGAAAGAAATGCCCTCTCTAATCGTCTCTAAGAGCAAGAAACAGAAAATCGAACATGTTTTAGGTATTATTTTAGGTATATTTTTGAGACTGAAAAAGCTTGGTGCACACAAGCAGTAAAAAGAAAATGGGTCGATTTACATCTACCACTTGTTTTGAGAAGTGGTCAAAGAAGCACTCACTGCACTAAAACTGTGAAGAACTTTCTTGCAGAAAGGAGAATTGATTACATAATGATTCTCACATAATGACTGCTTAACTCCAAACTTTTGATATTGCAATAAAAAGGCCATATAAAGACAACCTGTGCACAGAAATCAATGACTACATTTAAAATAGGATAAACAGATGTCCCCGAGGAAACTTTGCGAAACCTAAGCTACAAGAAGTTATTACTTGGGTAAAGAAAGCATAGGATAAAATAATGCAATACAGTTCTCCTCAAATGAGCTCTTGTAATCCATGTGTCCAACAAGCAGGCTACATGGATTACAAGAGCTCATTTGAGGAGAACTGTATTGCTCAACATGAAAGGCAAGGGCCAATGGTTTTGGAGGAAATGAAGTTGCAAAAAATTCAGGCCAGAAATTGTGATTTGGAGCTTTATGCCAATGTTCAAAAAAAAAAAAAAAAAAAAAAAAAAAAGAGATGACATGGTTGTATAAAAGTAAATGATTTTGTTCATTTTTTAATGTTTCTTTAATGTGAGTTACATGTATTTCTTGAACCTCATGAAATGAGTTTCTTCAACATGAACAAATGTTAATGCATGTTAATGTAAATGTGCATGAAAAATAAGGCATCCCTGAAAATAAGCCCTGGCATGCCATTTGCAGCAAAAACTGATGCAAGACTGGATCTTATTTTTGAAGAAACACAATATCTACATTCCTTAACAATATACAGTTTTTACTTATTAATAATTAGCTGCTATTTTTTAATAATGAAATTTACATATTAAGGTATTTAAGAATTAATGCCACAATTAATAATTAATAATATTAGTAGAAGTTGCCAAATTTTCAAAATGCACCAAACTCTGTAAACCATGCACATTACAGTTCTTCAGTGTTGCAGTATTGTCATTTTTGCATGGATTCTTTTTGTTGTATTTGAATGGATTTTAGGGAATAACCTTGATATTTTTTCTTTTAAAATATTCACTTGTGTAAAAGAAACTACTGCATAATTTCTGAAAGAATACTGTATCTTACTGCAGAGTCACTTAAACAGAACAAATGCTTTCAGTCCATTCTTAAAGGGATCATCATTTCTGCAGAACAGGAGAAACAAAAACTTGCTTGTAAGTTTATTTACTGATTTTAAAATCATATTATTACAGTCAAACGTCGTTAATTCGGACACCCATAATCCGGAATGATCTATAATCCGGACCTCAAAGCTACAAACTTTCTGCTTATGCGTCGCGTTGACGCATGCGCATAAGACCTTTACGGCTGCGAATATGCATGTGCACATGCGCATAATACATTTACGCTTGCGCGTTTAATGTATAACGGACGGTATAAGCTAAGCTAAAATGATCTAATTCAGTTAATGTTGCAGATTGCGTTCTTCCTTAATCCTTGAATTTGATCCGGCTTATTATTTTTTGCAGACCGTTAGAGCAATTTTATAAAAGTAAGCTTGAACTTTCGATTATGTCAAATAGAACATCTATATATTTACTAATATGTAAAAGATCTACAAAGCGAAAGTATGTTTCGAAGTCCATTGAACAAAAAGTGGAATTGCTGCAAAAAAATGGATAAAGGCATATCCTTTGTTTCTCTAACCATTCCGAAATCTGTTTATCAATTTCACGCTGCTCTGCGGCGGGTGGGGGGGGACGCCGAAACGCCGCGGCGTGCATTGAATTGGAAGTTAATCTGTCAGCACTATCCTTATCTTCAGGGCAGATGTTTTTATTTTATTTGGCTTACAATTCCTTACTAAATGTAGTATTTCATCTCGATGTTCTCAGTCTTTGATATGATTTAAATCAAATTCCTCGTCATTATAATTCGCTTCAGATAAAGAAGAAAGTGACACAGAGGTTATTGAAAACGAAAAAATTTCGATTGACAAATTAGTCAATATTCTTGACACAGCAATTATAGGACTTGAACAGCGGAACTTTGTAACTGAACAAGAAATTATGTCTGTTTATAGAATTAAAGAGAAAGTATTATCACATAAAACGAAGCAACTTAAACAACTTACATTGAAAGAAATGTTTAATAAAGTAAACAAATAAATATTAAGCTTTTTTTTTTTTTTTTTTGTAAATTTTGATACCCTTTAGATCATAATCGTTCTTTATTTCATAAATTATGGTTTCATATTTTTAATTTTATAATTTCTGCATGCCATCTTACCAGATTTAAACTGATGATCTATAATCCGGAAAAATCGATAATCCGGAATCGCCGAAGTCCCTACGAGTCCGGATCAATGACTTTTGACTGTATACACTTATGAAAACACAAAATCAATATGTATACATGTTATAAATAATTTTTTGCAATGATAAGCGATTTCTTTTCTTTTGCAAAGAAATGTCAAACAGTACAAAGATGGTTACACTAATGCACAAATACCTATATTAATTCATATGCAAGATTGTTTTTTACTTGTTAAGATCTCAATGTGTGGAATAACATTACCTCCATTAAGTAAAATCCCTTTGTGTTAAAATTAAACAAGTTGACAATGTAAAAAAGGTTCCCAACCAATACTAGGAAACTAATTTAATATGTACTATTTGAATAAGCACTGAAAGTACCTTAAATGACTGAATGAAAGTCCATAACAATATCCTGATTGTATCACCCTGACGCAGGAGTTTGATAAGGCGAGCAGCTCGAAATAAGCGGAGAAACCCAAAATTGAAGAAACTAACCTATAATTGAATAAAAAATAAGTTTTATATAAAATACATTAATTTCAATCGTTTAGTTCTGTAAAATGTGAAAATTACCAGCAAAAAGAGTATTTTATCTCTTCATAGACACTGTACACATTTTATTCACTCAACGATAAGCCTCAAAAGTGAAAAAAAATCACATTGAAGATTGATTAAATTTTAAAATAATAATAATAAAAAGTGATCTATTTACTTAAGTCCTAAGACAGTTTACTAAGTTAAGTTTCCATCTGAACTGAGAATGTAATCTGATATTAATGCCACAATTAATAAGTAATAATATTAACAGAAGTTCCCAAATTTTCAAAATGCAACCAAAGTTATTTAGTGTTGTAGCACTGCCTTTTCTGTAGGCATTCTTTTTGCTGCATTTGAATGAATTTTATGGAATAACCTTGATATTTTTTGCCTTAAATTCAGATTTAAAATATGTACTTGTGGGATTTGTCAGTAGTAAAAGAAACTACTGCTTAATTTCTGAAAGAATATTGCTTGAGCTCTGCTGAAATAAAAAGGAATTGTTACAGTTTATGTAGTTTCTAGGTTCCCACATCACAAATTTTTGTCTCAAATTATATATATGTTTATTTTGGCACACAAACCAATTAATTCTCTTTTTTTTTTTTTTTTTGGTATCATTTATATTGTAAATCATTACCTTTCTTATGCATATGAAATATATGCTGAGGGGGGAAAAATTGATTTTCACAAAAACTTCTAGGAACAGTTTCGTAGTTCCAGTTTTCAAAATAGATTGTTAACAGTGTCGGATTTACGTATAAGCTGAACAAGTTATAGCTTAAGGCCCCCAGAAAAACTGTAGCATATACCATATAAAAAATTGACTCATATCTCTCATAAAGGGCCTATATTACCTCAAATAGCTTAGAATCTAAATCAAGTCAAGATTGTTAAATATTAATTTTTAATTGTCATAAGTTAAATAGATATGAGAAATTATATGCTATCACAAATGATGAAATGAAGAAGAAAAACAACTTTACATTTTCATAAAAATAATAGACTGATATAAATATGGATTGTAATTTGCCAGATATGACAGAATTGGCATGAGTTATAAGCCCATACAAAGAGCAATAAAAAGCTAATGTAACGAATGTTCAAAGAAGACCTGATAGTCATAAGTGAAATAATTATCATTTCATTACTTTGGTTCACTTATTAGCATAAGGATGGTTATTTTTCCACATTTTAATCAAAAACATACATTCCTTTCCATATTTCAAGCATATATGAGAATCTTATGAGATAGATTTAGCTATTTCTGGTTAAATTTAAAACATAACCACAAATGTGCAACTTACCCCAGTTTCTACAACTAAGGCATCTATGACACTTCCAACAACAGTTATGAAATCAAATGTGTTCCAAGGATCTTTAAAGAAATTCTTAAAATAGAAAACATTTTATTACAATATGCACATTATATTAATCATTTTTAGCCTAATCAGAATAACGCTGTCAACGTTGAGCAGAATATAATAAATTTAGAATATAATAATTTTTAGAACAATAAAATAGAATTATTCTTTAAATATCATTAACTAAATTAAATATATATATATTTTTAATACTTTACAAAGATTTAAATGACATTCATGTATAATATTTTAATACTCTTAAATAAACTAACAGTAAAGCATTACATAAAATCTAATTTATTATGTTTGCTGCATGTGATATGCAAGTGCTTATTTTAAATATTTCAGCCCAACTATGTAAGCAGCTGAGCAAGTTTCCAAATGTGCAATTTTTAAATACATAAATTTTTCATAAATTAAATAACTTAAATTTATTTATTATTTAATTTTAAATAAATTATAAATTTCATAAATTATTTTTAAATATGGAACTTTTTATAAAAATAATTAACAATATAAAAAATTTCTAAATGCTTAAAAATAGTAATTTCATCTAATAATATATATGCCAAAGATAAGTTAAACATTAAAACTTCTATAGGGATATAATATATAATATATTCTAGAACTAACAAAATAGTAGCTTTCCAATGAAATTCAACATAAAGGAACTGCTATATAATCCCCTTCTCTTTCTCTCTCTCTCTATATATATATACACACACATACATATGTTTACATGCATCATATATATGTAATATGATAATAATGATATAGTAAAATAAGTGTCAATCTTAGCATTAAAATTCATAATAATAAAGTAATCAAAATAAATTACGAAAACAATTATTATCAACACATATATAATGTATTATATTTTTTATTGAAAAATGCTTTTGAGGTATACACCGAGTTATGAAGCAACTTTATAAAGAAAAAAAAAAATTAGGGAAGTATTTGATGAAACTTTTCTATCAGGTTTTCAAGCAAAGAAATGCACATTTAAGTAATTTGAACAGCTGAGGCACTTTATTTCCTTCTACACAGAGAAGAATTTTAGCAGTATTAGACTTGCTAGTTATTGATAATAGTAGTAATTAAGTATGTAGACTTGCTAGTTATTGATGCTACATAACAATTAGAGAAATATATAATCAGGTTTACTTTCCTACAGGCAGTAAAATATGTATACACTGACAAGCCAAAACATTATGACCATCCCCACATTTTTCAAGGCACGTGACTAAGTGGAAATGGTATTTAACTGTTGCTGGTGAAAGCAAGTGATGGGAAAGTCTGCTGATCTATGAATTTAATAATTTAATTAATAGAATAATAGAGAGCAAACTGTAATGGCCTGAAGACTCGGATCGAGTATCTCTGAAACTTGCATGACTGGTAGGTTGTTCGCAATCCACTGTTGTTATACATAAATACTTGATGCCAGTGAAACCAGCAGCATACACCAAGGTGCTGAACATCCACATGTCATCGAAGAAAAAAAGACAGTGCAGACTGTCCCACTCGGTACAGCAAAATCGGTGCCAAACAGTGGCTCAGCTGACAGCCCAATACAGTGCAGGTCCAAGTGCAAATGTTTTTAAACACACAGTTCAGCAGACACTGTTGGATATGGGCTTGCACAGCAGATGTTCCAATCATGTGCCTCTGTTGACCAAGCCTCATTGTCAACTACAGTGGGCATGGGAACACCTAGATTAGATCATGGATAAGTGGAAGACAGTTGCCGTGTCAAATGAATCCCGATTTCTCATTCATCAAATAGATGGTCATGTCAGGGTGCACCATCTTCCAGGCAAAAATTTGCTCCCCTTGTACAGCATGTCATACATAGGCTGGTGGTGGTCGTATTATGCTTTGGGGGATGTTCTCATGGGTGGCTTTGGGATCCTTAGTTGTGGTAGAACAGACCATGAAAGCTGCAGACTATCTGAGCTTAACTGTGAATCAGTTGTACCTTTACACAGCATCTGTCTTCCCAATTGGAAATAGAATCTTCCAGCAGAGCAACAACCCATGTCACAAGGCTCAAATTGTGTTGGAGTAGTTCGAGGAGCATAAGAAAATTAAAAAACCAATTAATGTTCTGGCCATTTAACTCAACGGATCTTAACTTAATAGCACATTTGGGATGACATGAAGTAGAAGCTTAAAGCTCAAACACCATCATATCAGAATATCTCAACTTTGCATGACCACTGCTTAGATGTTTGGTACAAGTTATCTCCAGTCATTTATGAAAAGCTTGTGACATACATGCCAGGGCAAGTTGCACCTGTTTTGCAGGCCAAAGGTCACCTAACACATTATTGTGTAGGTGGTCATAATATTTTGGTTCTTCAGTATATATATATACATAGTGGGTATCTTAATACATATTGTTATTTATAACTGCATCAATAATACATATCTCTCATTTATTTAATCAGAAATAAGGAACATATACACCCTTAGTAATTTTTTTACTTATTACAGCATTAAAAAAATCAGGATTATTAAATTGTGAAAATCCATATTTAAAAATGTTTGTTGCATTACTTTATATCATTAAGATTGTATTCTATTATTTGATTATGTTGAAGTATAGTAAAGCAATGTGCCTTTAGGAAAAGATGCCTTCATAGAGTTTCCAGGGGACAAGGTCCATGTTTATACATTATGGAAACCATAAAAACTTTTTTTTTTTTTAAAATACAATTTATTCGACCACTGAAAATAGAAAATAGGGTGTACATGAAGCATTATGTTAATGTATTTACTAGGTCATTTACTGATTCATATGATTAAGATCATATTAAATATTACAAAAGAGGCAACGGTTTAGTGGCTTTTGTGATTTTAATAAGTGATTTATTTAATTTGATATGATTTTTATTCAATGAGCTTAGAAAACTGCAAGTAATGTATTATAATATATAGTATATTAATAATATAGAACATATTTTATTAAATTTGCCATTTAATTTCCCAAGTTGGATATTTAATAAATTATACACCAAACAAAAAATATATTTAATTACATATGATAAATGTGCATTAAGCCAATTTAAATCCTCCCAAATATTTATAAATTTATATAATTTTGTTAATTATTTTCATGTTATTACATTTTATTGATTACAAAGGAAGCTTATATGCATGATTTTCCAACACTCTTAAAAAATCAAAATTGAACTAAGGAAAAATCAGTTTTAGACTGATGCAGATAGGAAAGCTCTACACAATTTGTGGGAATGCAACAAGAGTCTCCTTTCTTTAAAGAATAACAACATTTGGCATTATTTTTTTTGCAAGATATATCAAAGAAGTAATTGTAAGAAATAATAATAATAAAAAAAAAAAAAAAAAAAAAAAAAAAAAAAAAAAAAAAAGCATTGTCTGTTGCATTAAAGAAAATTTTTAGAATATTTTGCAATAAGGTTTCAAAACATTCTGAATAAGGATAACTGATTTTATTAAAATTAAAATCATTAATTAAATCTGATACATGCAAAGTGAACACTAGATGCATTATTGCTCATAACAACTATCTGAATGAATGGATAGGTTTAAGAGGTAATATTTAGATAAGAGTGAATTTTAAGCACATTAATTTTTTTTTCTTCTTTTCCTGAGTAAGATTAAACTGGATAATTTATTATTAAAATTAGCACTGCAAATAATTAAATGGTGGACTGTTTTTCTTGGTGTTTCTGAATTTTAACAGAATATTAACAGTTTAACAGAACAGGCTTTAATTGTGCTACAAGAAAATTACATAGGCCACACTTTTCTAATGTATTACATTCTTTTGAATAAAATTTGTATTCTTACATCTTTTAACAGAACTAAGGTATAATTAAAACTTTTTCATTATAATTAAATGCTTATCTCCTGATCGACTTATCAAGAACCTTGTTATTGCACTGACCAAAAGAAGTGTGTGTGTGAGAGGGGGAAGGATTCTAAATTAAGATTTATTATCAATAGGAGTCAAAATACATTAATTACAATGGTAACTGATTGCATCCAATTAAAATCCTTTAAATGTAGTTAAAATAACTGCGGAAATTTACAATATTAACAAGTTGAAATATCAACATGAGGTAAGGTTAAAATTCTTCTAAATTAAAATAATTTACTCTGAAATAAATGCAACTTCATCCTTTAGAAATATTTTATGCTGAATCCAAATTTCTTCCTAGACAGACTGAATGACAGATAGAAACCAGTTCCAGGGAAATTATGAAAGTTAGTAGAATGAGTTTCTTAATAAGACACTGAAGAATAACTTATTTTATAGAACAGATGGTTATATATATGTGTGTGTATATAAATGAATAAATAAAAGTAAAAAGTTCAAAATCTAATCCAGTTGCATGTTGGTAGCAGCCACAAGTTGTGATAATAATGCAAAATAAAAAAATAATGTTTAAAATTCATCACATAATCAGTTCAAAATAAATCACATGCAAAAACCAGAAGCACAGAGGCGAACTGCAAGAAATGGGAGGGGCAGCAAAATATGCCAAAACCAAAAATTAAATATGAAATTTACAGCTTTAGCTGCATCATCTGGCCTTCTATTTCTCGCAGTTTGACAATGTGCTTCTGGTTTTTTGGGTTTTCCATGTGATTTATTTAAAATTAAATAGTATATATATATATATACTGCTGTATGTATACATAGACAGAGGGTGTTTTACATATTTTTAGAATGATTTCAGGCAGATTTAATTAATGTCTAAAATGTATAAAGAATTATTTTGTTAAATGTTTGATCAGATAGCCTTTTCTCTGGACTATAAGCCTACATCATGATTTACATGACAGAAGGGCTTTTCATAAGATTTCCATTCATCTTCCACTACTTTTAAAGTCCATCAATTGTAGTAGATTTGCAGTTAGAAAGAGCTTTTTTTAAAAGACCAAAGACACAATAGTTCATAGGTAAAACATCATGGGACTTTACAGAAATATATTGAAAAGGGATATATGCCTCAGTCTTCATTTTTTCCAGGAATACA